TTTTTTTGTCCTTTCTGAAGCTTGACTTGCCCACTTTTATTGTATGGAAAAGAGCAGCCTTGGCATTTTCATAAAATACAAAAACAAAACCAGCAGTGTGGAGTAGAGAAATGAAAGAATCTTGAAGCTGGAAGAAAGCTGTTCTTTATTTCACAAACATGTTTCAGCACACAGGCCTTCATCAGAGCAAAACTCATTAAAATACATTTCTGCAAACACATTTTTAAACATGTGTTTTCACATTATTTGCAGTAATTACAAATGTTTTTCATTTAAAATGCTTTTAGAACCAAATCGTCATTAATCCCAGTAGGAAATGCACATTTCAAATAACATTTCATTTGATTTTGGTCAATATCACCTATTACTGGTAATTTTATGTGTTACATGCCAGTAAACAAAAAAGAGGACATAGGATAATTACATTTAAAATGTAACAGCACTGGATTGGTTGCATCACCTCTTTTAATTACACTCCTACGTTCAGTAATATGATCTATTTCACAACAAGAGGTTTCCCCAGCATAAACTTGTTCATAAGGGCATTGTATCAAACATATAACATTTTTAGTATTCCATGTAATGAAAATTTTTAATACTTTATACTTGCAGAAAGGATGTTTAGAACATTTACAGTTTAGTGTCAACTATCTCTAATAACATTACTAAACAGGTTAGATTAGTATGGTTGGTGAACACAGTTTTTGAGATTGTGAAGATCAGCTGGAGACGTTTTGTTGTGCTTCGTCCCTTTGAGCCGTTGAGCGCCTCGGGCTTTCAGAGGGCTTTTGTTAAAATGGGTTTGAGTGAATCTGTGTGTGAAGGTGTCAAACGGGCTCCATTACGGATCAAACAACCAGTGAACCCTGAAACGTCCTGTAAAGAAAACCGATGCTGGAATGAGGAGGAGGTGCGAGCAGCGTGGAGACACGGGGATGTGGGAGGGAATGATCTGTGATATTTTTAAAAGGGTGAAATGAGTGGAAAAAAGAGGCTGTGTAGATCTGAAATAGAAGGAAAAGAGCTGTACGACTGTCCTGTTGTCTGAAACGGGAAGTTTGCTCCCTTGTGTCCTCCTGCTAATGAATTCCTGTTTGGTGACCCGGGGTCGAGTCAGAAAGTCCCTCTGCTCATCTCTCCTGTCATCTACTTCCTTCCTTCTAGATTTGCTCTAACCAGTACTCTGTCTGGACATTGAAATCGCATAGCCTATATGCACTTTAACCTGTCAATAATAACGGGTCAGTTAGTCATATGACATGCTCTCTTCCTTTGCATCCTGTGTCCTAATCTATGGGTCAGTGTGGCGTTTGTTTCCTTTGTTCAAGTCCTACCTTCCTGTGTTTCTGATTTCCCAGAGCACAGATCCAAGACTGAATTGTTCAGTAAACAGCAATTTACCAATTATCTGTAAGCCTTAACGTCCATCTCTAATCAGCTCCTGATATCAGTTTTTGCTGGTTAATCACATTTGAGTGTGGACTTCAGCACACTGTGCTTATTTCACACCCTGGAACATGTTATCGTCATGCTTGTTTGTGATTCGACATGCCAAACCTCTGTTGAAACATTTGTTCTTTAAATGTAGACCTCAAAATGTCAAGCTGTGGCTACTATGAATATGATTTTAGGAAGTAATTGACATGTATATTATTGTTCATTAATAATTTAATTGTCTTGTCTTTGGTTAAAGGAATAGTTCACCCAAAAAATGAAAATAAAAATGTCCTCGCTGTTAGGCTATCCAAGATGTAGATGAGTTTGTTTCTTCATCAGATTTGGAGAAATGTAGCATTGCATCACTTGCTCACCAATGGATGCTCTGCAGTGAATGGGTGCCGTCAGAATGAGAGTCCAAACAGCTGATAAAAACATCACAATAATCCACAAGTAATCCACACCTCTCCAGTCCATCAATTAACATCTTGAGAAGCCAAAAGCTGTGTGTTTGTAAGAAACAAATCCATCAAGACGTTTTTAACTTTAAACCGTCGCTTCTAGCCAAAATGTTAAAACTCATGAGAAGCGCTGGCAGACCATTATTCAGTGAACGTAAAGCACATCGTAATGTTTTCACTTTTGCTCTGTGGCACATTGAATAATTTAAAATATGTTGTATAACTGTTGTCAATGGCCTATAAAATACATTTAATTAGGCAAAAGAGAGCTTTTAGTCCATTTGTTTTGTGCAATTAAAATTTAGCATCAAATGACTGACTGTAAATAAATGCACTTCAGCATCGCTTGTACTTCTATTTTCTTTTTTGCAAGCTTAAATAAAGTTAGGTTATTATGTAGATGCATATAATGGATTACAAACTATAGATGTGTCTGACTTGTATAATTGTAATGAATAATCAGATTTGGTTGTCTTTAGATGTAGTATTTACTTTGGATGCATCTGTCTATTTTCTTGCTGTAGCTGTACAAAAACCATACAGCTTTGTATATTTGCACACTGTGTTTTACTCTCTGGATGCAGTACATAATGCATCATTCTTATGTTGCCGCACACAATGTGTTGATTATTGTACTGGGATTCTGTATATGTGACATTTCATTTAGTTGTTGACACAATGCTGTAAATTACACAGGCTCCCTCACTTGTCTGTCTCCTTCTGCCATTGTGACTTTGCACAGGTAGGCCAGTGTGTGCGTGCGTACGTGCGTGCGTACTGGGAAGCTGATCTTTGGAAAGGGAATGAATGCATCCACCCAGAGTGTTTGAAGTTCAGTTCACGTGTAGGACTGAAGATTTCCAATAATGCATTGAGAAAGCAGCTCTGTACCTACTCTTTCTGTCTCTCTATTTCAGCTTTTCAATTGGCATGAAGTATTTACATACTAAATCATCAAAGCATTTTACACAAAGCAAGTAATGAGAAGAAAAAAATTACAACATAAATAACAATAAAAAATTTATTAAAATAAGGTGCTAAGTAATGAATATAAATAAGATTGTGTGTGTGTGTGTAAGATACATATTTATATGGTATAAAATATATTATATCAAAATAGGTACCAAGTAAAAAAAAAAATAGAATATGTAATATATTTATATGAAAACATGGAAATGTTTATACTAGTATATACTTTGAAGGTTAGTAAACTTATTGCTCATTATATACTAATTTTACTTGTGTCCTCATGATATGTTATGATATGTCATGTTATGTTTTACAGCTCTACTAAAGCATGTTTACCCACAATGCAGCACTATCTGAGATGGAAGCACACATGAATCAACAGATACCAGTCCTGTTTAACATCTGTGTGTCAGTGTTGTGATATGTGTGTTTGTGTTTGTGTTCACTGCCGTGCGATTGATGGTGTCTCGCAGGTTCAGTCAGTCCCATAGTGATGACCCTTGTGTTTATTTTAGTGTCTCTTCTCAGTACCCGCTGTGACCCACTTGGTGTCCCCTGCATTGCCCACCGTGTCTCGATTTTCCGTTCCCAGAATCCCGCTCAATGCTTTTCCCATACAGGCACTCAAATGTTCCTGCGTCAGTCCATTCTGGGTTCCACGCACAAATATAAGCACTCCTAAATCTAAACTGACATTTTCAGCATCATAACAGCCGTTTTTCAAACGCTGTCATTGTAAATGCAGAACAGATCCGACCGACTGAGCTCATCACAGTGCATTCTGGGATCACCTTCTCAGCAAGGCAGCATAATATAAAATCCTAGTCTCACACTGTGAATGAGTCTTTTAGTTTTCTCACAGTTTCCTCTGAGCTCTGGGTTTGTAGTGGGAAGATGCTGTTTCTATGTAAAGCCTGTTTGAGGCCTCTGGCTCTCTGTGTTTGTTTGTTGTTGTGGTTGTGTTTTGTGGTGTGATAAGTGATAATCATCCTCGCTCAGATGTGACTGATTATTCTCTGTCTGATTAAACACATGCAGCTTTGTCTCCGGTCTCATTTAAGCCCGTTTCAGTCCTCGTGTGTCGTCCTGTCATGCCTCTTCATATTGTGATTAGCGTCAGGCTTTTGAATGAGCGCCCCACGCTTCACCCAGAAGACCAGGTGTTTGTCATATCATTTGGGGTTTTTCTAATGCTCTGTCTCTGTTGATGTAGTCTGATATGCGTAAGTAGTGTCATTTTCTGTGAGTGAAAGCAAAATATATAGACAGTTTTCTTTTTTATAGTGTTGCCCTCGGTGGTTGCATGTAACAACAAACATAAATTGTGACTTCCCTAAAGTGGTTGTGTCAGATCCATTTTTGACTCCTGAGTCTGAATCAGTTCTCTGAATCATTCAAATGACTCACTCACTAAACTTCAGGTCATTCCTTTTTAAATTTGAAATTAGAATAATTACTATTAGCTATTATAATTACTATAGGCTGGATGATATGGTTTAAAATTTAATTAAATAATGAAAAATTTAATTTATTTATCAATAATTGAATTAATAATAAATATAATATTTAAGAATGTGTGTAATGAGATATATATATATATAGAGATCAGCATCTGGCAATAATACCAAACACGCACACTCAGACATGGCTGCTGTTAGTGTTTTGTTTTTTTCAGGGGAAATATCTCACATTTCCCAGCTGGCTCTGTGGGTCAAGGCTCTCTCTTTTCTTTTGGTTGTGGTTGTTCTGTCTAGTACTGAACTCACTTAAAGAGTTATTTAGTATAGTTTTGCCAGAACATTTTTTAGAATTTGTATCATATGTTAATGTAAAAAATCTTGTGTAATGTAACCTGTGTTTGTTTGTTTGCTGGTTTTTATTGTATTTTTTATACTTGTATTTTTTTTTTGTCATGAAAATAGCCTAAGATGCTGACATGACATTAAATAAAAAATATACTACTACTACTCTGTCTAGTATTGAATAGTCCTGGTTTATCAACAACAGATTGAATTCTTGGATCCCTCCCTCACTCAGAGCACCTTGTTTATAAATGTACAAATATGATTGTCATGAGTAATGATGTTTGATGATCATATCAGTCTAATAAGTGTTCTCTCTCTGTCTCTGTAGCCTCATGAGTTTGACGAGTGCCGGTTGGACATCAGCGTCAATGATAGTGTGTGGTATCTACGTGCTCAGGACCCAGAGCATCGCAACCAATGGATCGATTCCATTGAGCAACACAGGGTGAGTGTCTGTCTCTTTACCCAGCATGCTCTTCTCTCACGCAGCCAGACTATTGACTTATCAGTATTAAGTCTGGTTTCTGGCTGAACCACCTATGTCGATGCAATCTGATCGACATGTTAAACAATCACTGTTTTTTGTTGTTGTTGTTTTTATGTGGCAAATTTGGGTGAATTAATCTGAAATCGGACAAAACAGTCAGACATTACTGTCTTGTTTACCCTGTTACTAAAATAGTACACTCGGAGTGGGTTAGTTACCCGTCTAGAGGTTGCTTGCTGAGTCATAAAACTAAATAATAACGCCTTGAGATGAGAAATCAGAGATAAAAGACTGACTGTGTGTGAGATTATGAATGTGATTCAGACTGTGATTGTCAATCTGAGCGGCTGAGCACTGAAGTGACTTACACACACACACACACACACACACACACAGGAAGTCAGTTTAGGTCACAAACACACAATTCTATGGTAACGCAAATAAAAACAATGAATGTTGATCATATGTGAAACCTCATACAGCAGTTCTCATGTACAAACAAACACGCACGCACGCAATGTGCATGAGTGAACGTATCAGTCGCATAGCTGTAGTAAAATACCCTAGAGAGAAAGGATGTGGGCTGGTAGAGACAGCACAGGGGGTGGGGGTGAGGACAGAAAACTTCTGTGGTGGAAATCAAACTCAAGAAGTGTGGAAAAACAAAAATAATCAAAGACTGATGAGGGGAAACGATATATGAATCATGATATGAGCTACTGAGTGACGAAAAACTTGAGATAAGGTCTTATTGAAGGATTTTATACTCTCTCTCTCTCTCTCTCTCTCTCTCTCTCTCTCTATATATATATACAGTATATCTATATAATTTATTAAATAAAATAATTAAAAAGAAAATAATTGTGTATAATAAATAACCTTAAAACAATAATAATTCTATATTAAAATAAAAATCCTTTAATAAAAAAGTTATATATATATATATATATTGCTCTGCCTCTTTCAGTGTCTGTCTGCTGAGTTTGCACAAGTGTTTGTGTCATGAGGACACACCCTGATCCACATGTGCTTCTGATTTCTTCCGCCCAGGGGAGGGGGAGGGGGTTTCACTCTTACACACACACACACACACACATTTCCCCATCCATTCATTCTTCTCTTGCCTCGAGGATGACCCCTCTCTGATAGTGACTCGCACACACGGCTCTTCTTGGAACAGGCCTCTCTCGGTCTGAATCACTGCTGAAATTCTTCACAAGAACACTTTCCTTCTGTCTTTCATCTCATTAGGGTACAAAGGGAATAGTCCAGAACCACACAGATCAGCTTCAGTAATGATTGTTTTTAATTCAGACCCCATTATATGACATGACAGGTGGATTTTTCACTTTAAAATTGTTTAAAAATCCTGTGCTGCTTGAATCTGACTGCAGAAATAATACATAACATAGTCCGTTTGCACCTTTAATAACAAATCTGTGGCTTGAGTTGCATGAGGATATGACACGGACCCATATGGGTGGAGCTGTTCAGATCTGTTGTTGCAGATTGTGAGTGTAATCTGTCCGTCTAATCAGAGCTGTATTGTGTTAAGCCTTTCACTCTCACTGTCAACACCACACTCTCCCAATAAAGCTACTGGAAATGAGACGTGCGCTTGTGTATCTAAAAGACGTGCTTGATTTCATCTCATATAATCTCTTTTGTGCTTCAAAACATCAGCCCCGACTCGGTCCTCACTAGAGTTATTATCCTAATTCAAATGAAAACCATTACAAAAAAAAATAAAAATAGCTGTCACTTGAAATAAAATAAATGCTCATGGAAATAAAATCAAATTTATTTTGTTTTTTATTCAAATATATTTTTTAATTAATAAAAAAACTATTAAAAAGAGTTCATTCAGTTAGTACTAAAATAACTAAAACTGAAATAAATATACATCTATATTAAAAAAAAATATATATATATATATATATATATGAAAATGTAACCAATTAAAATATAAAAATAGCTAATTGAAAATCTGTGTTATTTTAGCATAATTGAGATGCCATTATAGTTTTTATTAATGTTTTGAATCAGTTTCTAATTTTATTCTATTTTTAGTTTTTGATTTATATTTTTTTTTATTTGAGTTATCAAGTTAACCTAAATTAAAATGAGAAATGTTGCCTTGGCAATTAGCTGAAATAAAGATTTTTAAAAATATTCTATTTACAAGTAAGAAAGATGTTATTTTTTTTAATTCTTTTTTGCTCCAGTTTTAGTCCACTATAATAACCCTGGTCAAAATATTAACAAAAACTATAACAGTATATTAACGATGCTAAAATAAAACTGCACACAATATATTTTAATAATATTGCTGCTGAATTAAAGATGTCACTGATTATAATGCCTTCTCATTTTTTTCTCTCCTGCTGTTTTTTTGCAGTCACTTGGTTAGGTTTATTGATTTTGGGGGGGTTGAGTGAGAGGGAGATGGGGCATTAATGGATGTTATTAAGTCTATCATCAGTCTCTGAGGCTATTGATTGTGTAACAAAGACACAGACGTTATTTTTGATTTCTGATTGGTCAGTGGAGGCGTTATTAATGCCATAGTGACAGTAAGAGTGCGCTTGATTGGCTGGAGTGAATGCAGGACTGACCTGTCTTTGGTTGAGACACTGAATGCTTATTCTCTGGTTCTATCCAGTTACCTCAGATTCTGCCCACTCAACCGTACATGTGCTCACTGTTGCCATCTAGTGCTGGACAATATTTAATTTCTCACTAAAGACAGTGTGTATGTTCTGTATAGCATACTTCAGTAGCATACTACTGAGTTTTTCTATATGCTATCCAAAATGAGGAATACAGTATCCCACAATGCAACATGTTTACCATTCAGTTTCCAGTGTGATGTCTGCTTTAACATTTCTTATGTAACTTGATTTTTCATTTGCCTGCAGATGCCAATTTCACACAGTTTGATTAAAATTGCTAAATATTAGAGATGGCTATTAAAAATATTCCAAATAGCACACAATGTCTGTAATGTCATGTGACAACAATGTAGCAAACGTAGTACTGTTTGAAGTGCTTGTTATTGCATGCTACGTGTTGTTTCTGATTCTAAATTAAAGTTTTAATTTAGCCAAGAACAGAAAACCAAAAAAAAAAAGTTGATTTAATAATCAAATTTATTTAGTAATCAACATTCAAATAAAAATGTAGCTGCACAAACATTTAAATTGCACATAAGCAACTTTTTAATAATAAAATAGGAAGTTTATACTCCAGTTTGAGTGTAAAAAAAAAAAAAAAAAAGGCATTTATCAGTGTCTGTAATAAAACCTTGTTTTCATGACAGATTTATTTAAACATACATTAAATAATAAACATATCACTATCTGGTTAAATTAAAAAAATATTATAAAATGTTTTAATCCAGTCTGTATATTTAGCAAAATGACCTTATCTTTATAGGCTAGATGTTTCTCCAAAACCAAAAATGTTTCACATACTGGTTTTGAAAAATAGTGTATACTATGTAGCATACAGCAAAAAGTACACTAGTATCACATATTGAACATAGCTCGATGAATTCATCTGTGCTTTAGGGTAAAATCTTGTGGTAGATGAACAGAGATATTGATTATTTTTCCCATTCCGTTGTTTTGACTCTTATCTGCTCTTACAGTTGTACATTTATTTAATAATAATAATAGGTTGTTTTGACTGTAAAGTCATGTGTTTACAGGTGGTTCTTATCTACAGGAAAGGTTTGTTTGTGTAGTTGTGTGTGTTCCTATTTCTCTTTGGGCTTTGTGTTCTGTGTGTGTGTGTGTGTGTGTTCAGACTGAACTGGATTCGTTTCAGTATGCGGAACATCACAAGGGAAGTAGTTGATTTTCAGATTGTATTTCATTCCCTCTTTCAGATTGACTGTAATGAGTGAGTTTATTAGCATTGTACAGAGGTCAAATTTGTTCATGTGGAGGAAAGATACAGTAACCTGGGCTTGTGCCATCATGCTCTGCTCAGAAGCCTCGTGGGGAGACAGTCATTGTGTGTGTTTATGCTGCTAAATAAACTCAGAAACTATTTTCAGAGGCTGTTACTCATGAAATGAGACACAGGAGAGCTCTGAGTTCATGGAAAGTGACTCTCTGGACTGTGTGTGTGTGTGTGTGTGTGTGTGAGTGACGTATCCTGAAGATGAAGTGGAAATTGTTCAGGATACACACACCAGTTTATGTTGTTTTTAAAGTGTCATGTTTGTTTGACTGTGTAAATGACAATGTGAATATGAACTGAATATGCAGTCCACACTTCTTATATGTATTTTATATTAATATATGTCTATATATATAATGCATATTAAATATCTATAAAATATATTAATATAAATTATATAACTTGAATATATATATTTTTAATGTAATTTTTGTCTTTATATTTATTATTTTATTACAAAATATAATTATTTTTTATTATATTATTATTATTAAAACTACTTATTTATCAACTATTAACATGGAAGAGATTTGATTTATGACTTGAGGTTTTATTGCCTTGTGACCGACTTTTGAAGCTTTAGTGTAAACACCGCTCCTGGATTTCACATTAACCTCTGTCTCTCTGTGTCTCTGTGTTTAGGCTGAGTCTGGTTATGGCTCTGAGTCCAGTTTGAGGAGACATGGCTCCATGCTGTCCCTCACATCAGCCACCAGCGGATACTCAGCCACCTCCACCTCCTCCTTTAAGGTGAGGACACACATAAAATGTCCATTATTGAGCATTGCCAATATGGTAGTAAGTCATGCCTCTCTACTCTGAACTCATAGTTTGTGTTTATGACCCACAGAAGGGTCACAGTCTGCGGGAGAAGCTGGCAGAGATGGATACGTTTCGAGACATCCTGTGCAGGCAGGTGGACACGCTGCAGAAATTCTTCGACGGCTGCGCTGACGCCGTGACCAAAGACGAGCTCCAGAGAGACAAGAGTGAGTAGACGGAGTGTGTTCTGGTGTGTGTGGGAGAGAGGATATCGAATATGCTGACAGACATGTTTAGACAACGCTGAACCTTATTCAGACTGCAGCGATGTCCAGATTCCTCTGCATTGGTGCCGTCGCTCTCGCTCGCTCTGGATGCATCTGTTGTTACAGCACAAGGGCCTGTTGATTCACACAAATGATCAACTGCCTCTTTTGTTCGTCCTAGTCCTCTCTCGCTGCATTGTGTACTACAGTATGTGAGTGGGCCGATCTGAGCACCACCAACCACAGGGCGATGAGTTCACACTGACTGTGTCTGTGTGTTTTCTCTGCTCAGTCGTGGAGGACGATGAAGATGGTTTCCCTACCACTCGCTCCAATGGAGAATTCCTGCATAACAACAACGGCAGCAAGGAGAAACGTGAGTGTCTTTACTGATTTCTGCAGAATATACCCGAGGTAGCTCGCATGGCGTTAAATCATAAACAAACAAAAACTGATTTCTGCATGTGGGAAACTTCAGCAGGTTTTTCACGCTCAATGAATTCTCTCTGATTCCGCTCGAGGAGACAGTACTGGGGCGCCACTGACATTATGAGCAGTTTGTCCACTTAATTTACTCCAGTGATCCAGTCATTTGAGCCTGCTGTAATGAATTGTGTGACATCTATAACATAAAGTCAGCATGTCTCCAGTGGAGCTGTGTTGAGATGTTTTCATTGAGTTTCTGCATCATTTTTTTTTTTTTGAGGAAATACTATACGTTTCTGTTTTTGTATAATATAACAAAGAACGTCAGATGTTTTGCACTGTGTCCAAACCAAACATGACAAGTTTTTTTTTGTCTTTATTGAAAACTATATATTTGCATGTATGAATTTATAAACTAATTTTGACAGCACTCATTTTTTTGACATCTAAATAATATATATTCAATAGAATGTATATAAATGTCATTTATAAATAAGTTCATAATATGAATATAATATTTTATATATTTTATAGATAAAACAATATTGTATACAATATATAACATATATATATATATATATATATATATTACATTTCAAATTAATTTTATATATATTTATGTGTGTGTGTATGTTTAAAGATAGATAATGCATTTAAACAATATATATTGCATGTAGAATATTAAAAATGTTTTAAAATAGATAACTCTAGCAACTGCTGGTTGGAATAAATACCCAGAAAACACATGGAAGAGATTGCATTGTGCCTGATTTGGCGTCTGTGTAACACTGTCTGGCAAATTAATGTCTTTATGTTTCAGAGTGTGACTGGGTTTGTTTTCTCTCCCCATCAGTATTCCAGTGTTTGAGTCATAAAGGCATTAATGGGATAGATTTTAAAGGAGAGGCCATCACGTTCAAGGCGACCACGGTGGGGATCTTGGCTACGCTTTCTCACTGCATCGACCTGATGGTGAAGAGAGAGGACAGCTGGCAGAAGAGACTGGATAAGGTACGAAGCTCGGGCGTCTGGAGCTCGTCCTTGAGCTGATCAAATCAGAAGAGAGATGGTGGTTCTGTAATTCAGGGCTCTGTTGGCAGGCTGCTGCTGTGATTGTGTCTCTGACAGAGCGAAATATTTCCCTGACTGTGAAAATAAAACACATTTATAGTAGTGTGAAGCTAAAAAAATACCCACAGTTAAGTCATGTGTGAATGGGATCTGGTGTCAAATTATGGTACATCTGCCGTGGCGATTCACAGCTGAAGGTTTTGTAACTTTGGCAGAAATATTTTGCATTGATGCTATATGTGAACAAATAATGATACATTAGTAGGCCGAGCAAAGTAGGGCTTCCATGACTACTTTATACTAAGCAGCTAGTCACCCAGAGCAGAAGACGACTGTTCGCTTTCACGTTATGGTATTCTTTTTTTTTTGTTTACAATTTTTCATTCAAAAATAATGTCACCCACTGACATAGAAGAAATGCAACTGAAGTCAAATGACCCATGGCTAGTCGACACAAGCATCAAATACTGGTGCAACTTATCGACTAGTTTGTGCAAACTGAAATAAAGCTGAAATAAAACATGTAAATATAAATATTGGATAAAAATGTAAACACAAGTTAGACTAACCAAAATAAAATAAGTTAAAGTTTAAGTATTGAAATGATTGAAACAGAATTTTTTATAAAAAAATTGTAAACTTTATAGAAATATAAAAATGACGAAAGAACATAAAATTACTAAAACTAATTAAAATTAAAACTAATTAAAATACTGTACAAATAATACATTAAAAAATTATTAAAACTTCAGCAAAAATCAAAAAGTAAAGTGAAAATATAAAAAAAGATCATTCAAAATATTAATAAATACTGTCATCCTATATAAATAATACATTAAAAAAAATTCTTAAACTAAAATCAAAATGAAAACTGAAAATATAAAAATAAAAGTAAATTGAAAATATCAATAAATATAAAAATTCTATAGAAGCAATATTAAAATGACACTGGAAGAAACTAGAAAAAACTGATATAAGAAGTATTTTGTCAGAGTTTGAGCCAGTCAGAACGTTTTGCATGACACCAGTGTGACAGGACTCTTTTATAATTTTTCATAAATATGCAGCATACATAAAATATTTTTCAAACATGTGCATTTAGCTCTCCTGTTGTAACTACTATAGTTATATAGTGAAATATAATTTTATTTAAATCACTATACTTCCAGTGCCGCTATTGCAAATTCTGCTAGTGCTTGTCATGTCTAGGTAAAAATCATATCTGACATCACCAGAGAGTTTGAGAGATGGAAGCCATACTCATAAACATGGAAAGCTGTGAATAACTGCTGCAGTATCTTTACCAGCAAAGTTCCTCCAGCAGATTTAATGGGTTTCTGTGTGAATGTGAAGCGTGTGATACAGAGGTGGAGCTGAATCCGTCTGCCGATGTGTCGCAGTCAGCAGCATTCAGCACAATACTGACATATACAATCAGAGCGAGAACACAGGCGTTTTGCTTCTGTCTGAACAATGGAGCGCTTCAGGACAATCCTGCACCGATACAGTCTCTCGCTCTGCCCAGATCACACCGAGACAAGATCTACTCACGCCAAGACATTAAACATCACGGTGGCAGAGTGTTTAGTCAGCTAAAGCCGTTCCCCCTCTCTTGCTTCCTACAGGAGATGGAGAAGAGGAGGAGGGTGGAGGAGGCGTATAAATCAGCCCTGTCCGAGCTGAAGAAGAAGTCTCATTTTGGAGGGCCTGATTACGAGGTGGGTTGGGTTTACGCAGATGCATTTGGTGAAGTAGGCAGAGCTGTAAACTGTATGTTCATCTTGTTCTGTCCATCAGGAGGGTCCAAACAGCCTGATCAATGAAGACGAGTTCTTTGATGCTGTAGAGGCTGCTCTGGACCGACAGGACAAAATAGAAGAACAGGTGTGTAATTACAGACATTCACCCTCGCTTTCACAGACAAGGCTAAAGCCTAGTCCAAGACTAAAATGTAAATCTGAGCTGTTTCAACTGAAAGAAATTGCACTAACTGATCTTAAAACATGTCAGTGCCTTTGTTTTGTCTAAAGATGCACACCAGTAATGCTTTTTTCTAAGGCAAAAATATATTAAATAAAATAATTAATGAACAATGCACCTTAATCTGAGCTGCCTACTTTGTCAGCATTTTTGTCAGTCAAGGGAGTCCATTAGATTTTAAAACTCAACCAGTCATTTTATTGGCAAGTTTGCACGATGGACAAACATATATGGTTTAAATAGCACATTAAAACCACACAGTCTGCCCTGGTATCGCTGTTTTGTGTTTGCCTTTTAAATTTGCAGCTAATAATGCTTTGTATTGCTTTTTAATATGATAATTTGCATGTTTAATACCTTCTAGGAATTCTCTTACTTCAAGTCACCTTGAAATCAAAATGCAGCTAATTTGCTTTAATTCATGTTCCTGGTCTTATTATTTATTCGTCTGTATGTTTTTGTATAAAGTGCTGATTAAATGGTATTACATAAATTGTCATTGTTTTTTTTTGAATAAAGTCTTTTCTGTTCACCAACGCTGCAAAAACAGAAATATTGTGCCATATTGTTACAACTCAAAATAAGTGCTTTCTATTGTAATAGATTTTAAAATGTAACTTTATTCCTGTGATGCAAAGCTACATTTTCATTTTGAGTTGTGATTGTGTAAAGCAGTGTTTTTATTATTTATATAATATAGTTTTTAGTAATTGTGTGTGTGTTTATATTTAAGTTAGTGTAGTTTCGTTTCAATTCTAGCTTTTTATTTTATTTTAGTGCTTAAATTTATTTCAGTTCGTTTTCATGGTAGCATTTAAAATTTTCATTTAGTTTTTCTATGTATTTTTTTTTATTTCTCCAATATTTTAATGAACATTTAAAAAATATATAGTTTTAGTTCATGTGAATAGTACAATTAAATAGTAAATCAGTCTATTACTTTTTCAAAATATCATGAAAAATCAGTTTTTCTGGTTTGTATAACATCACACGTCTTCATATAATCTAATAAAGCTCTTCTACTGTATGATATCATTAATAATGGAGCACATTCAGTGACTCGGCACAGTTTGGCCTGTAAAGGCACCATATACTCTTACCATGCTTTAATACAGTGACTTACCAGAACACTTTCACTGGCCGGATAATTCAGCCGTACCTCCTAACGATCACTGGCGCAGTCAATAGTGGTGCATCATGGGTAGAATTACTTGTACCATTGCCTAGTACCTCTGTGTTTCAGCCCTCACTTGACTTCTAGCTCTTGTTTTTGTCTCTGTCTCCAGCTACTGTCGAAAACTTCAACATCGTGGAGACGCTGTCCGATACCGCCATCATCATCTACCAGACTCATAAGGTGAGAGGAGTGCGGGGCTGTCTCCAAGGCACTTCCTCGCAGTGATTCGATTGATTCTGACGGAGTGTTTTGTGTGTTGCTCCGTGTAGAGAGTGTGGCCAGCGTCCCAGAGAGACGTCTTGTACCTGTCTGCCATTCGTAAGCTTATAGCCAATAACGAGAGCGATCCAGACACATGGCTCGTCTGCAACTTCTCAGTGGAGCACGAGAATGCCCAGGTGAGTCTGGTCTCCATGGCAACCGCTGAGTCAGTCTGTCTGTTTAACGAGTTTGGTGCAACATTTAATGCATTCGGGGGTGGGTCAATTCTGACTTGTATATATTTATGGCTCACTGTTTTGTTGTTTTTGTCCTGGTGTAGCCAAACAACAGATGTGTTCGTGCTAAAATCAACATTGCGATGATCTGCCAGACGCTGGTCAGTCCACCAGAGGGAGACAAAGAGATCAGCAGAGACAACATCCTGTGCAAAATCACATACGTGGCCAACGGTTAGAGGAACCGCTCTCACCTTTAATCTTAATAAAATAGCTATTCAATTACCCAAGTAAGATAAAGAAAAATATTCGTATTGAATAAATGTATGAATATATAAATACGTTTGTTTGTTGTGGCTGCAGTGAATCCTGGTGGCTGGGCTCCTGCGTCTGTCCTGAGGGCCGTCGCGAAGAGAGAATATCCCAAATTCCTCAAGCGCTTCACTTCCTACGTCCAGGAGAAAACTGCGGGAAAGCCCATCCTCTTCTGAGCACCAGGTGCCCCAGACTACACCTGATGACTTTAACTGTCAGCAGTGACAGCAGTAGTGAAAAACAGATTAGCCAGAGTCAGACTTTTAACTTTTAACTCTAAAGTAAATGTATTATTTACTTTAGATTATATTATTATTGTTCTTTTTAATCATGAATAATTGTATTATTATACTATTTGTTATATATACTGTGTATAAATATATATACTACGTCCACGAGAAAACTGCGGGAAAGCCCATCCTCTTCTGAGCACCAGGTGCCCCAGACTACACCTGATGACTTTAACTGTCAGCAGTGACAGCAGTAGTGAAAAACAGATTAGCCAGAGTCAGACTTTTAACTTTTAACTCTAAAGTAAATGTATTATTTACTTTAGATTATATTATTATTGTTCTTTTTAATCATGAATAATTGTATTATACTATTTGTTATATATACTGTGTATAAATATATATATATATATATATATGCATATGAAGAGTTTATTTGCAAAAACAGATAACTCCGTTTTTGTTTAGTTTTTTCAAAAATCCTGTTTTTATGTTATCATGTTTTATTGTGTTAGTTAGCTGTATTTTTTGTTCTTTTTTGCAGTTTGATTGAGATTAATTGGAATTCACAATGGAAAAACACGATTTTTGAAAATTTTAAAAAAACCGAGTTATCTGTTATTGCAAATTAACTCTTCATATATATATATATAATAAAAATAATAGTAAAATACTAATAGTAATGATAATAATAAATATTACTTGTGTGTTTGTGTGTGTGTGTGTGTGTGTGTGTGTGTGTGTGTGTGTATATATATATATAAATAATGTTTATTATTATCATTACTATTGGTATTTTTTATTATTTTACTATTACTGTTATGATATATTTCATTATATATATTATTCTTTTCACTATAGGTATTTTTTATTATTTCTTTGTTATGCATTTTATTAATTGTTATTATGTATTGAATAATATATTATTATGTTTTATTATTACTGTTAGTGTTGTTGTTGTAATTATGTATTGTATTAGTTATGGTACTCTATTATTACTGTTAGTGTTGTTGTTGTAATTATGTATTGTATTAGTTATGGTACTCTTTATCTAATAATAATAATAGTATTTTACTATTATTAATCTTATTATATTATTGATGTTTTTACTATTTATTTCTATGAATTGTTATATATTTAATATATTATTATTGTTTTTTAGTTATTGCTATTTTTACTACTATTATTTTGTATAATTTGTACTATTACTATTATTTAAAAAAAAAAAAAAAAATGATGAAATTCGTTATTTTTGATTGTTTGCAGTTCTGCCGTGGGTGTGCCGGAGCGCCTCCAGTCCCACACACTTCCTCTAGCGACACAGAAGACTCATAACTGGACTCATAACTCCACAGGAAGCCCGGCAGCGGCGGCGGCGGCCCATGGGTAGACGCTTGATGCTGTTCTGTAGCGCCACACTAGCTCACACAGACAGAGGACTAGAGATGCCAAACACCAATGTCTGTCCCATGTTTTCTGGCAGAGATCTATATTGATATGAATATATATGTATGTATGTACGTAAGTTTATATATAACGGAGAGTTTTGAAGCTGAACACATGAGACCGGCTCTGTTTTAGTCTGTTTTTTTTCTGTTTTGAACAAACATTTCAGCGTTGCTTTCGTTGTCCTCGTATAATTGTTCTTTGGGGAAATCAAAGGCATGTTTGTGAGTGAACTCTATGAACCTGTCTTTCGTCTCGATGTTGGCCGTCTCTCTTTTTATGAAGCGCAGTATCTGCCGCTGACGAGGAGGCGTTTCATTTCTCTCTTAGTTATATCCGTGTCTCAGCAGCTGATGTACCGTAGCACAATTCCAGATCGATCGGAACCGGCAGAAATTTTTAATATGTCAGAAAAGGTTTGCATGCAGATTATTTGTATATAATTTCATTATAGCTTCAGACCGTCAGTCGATGCTTTTACCTGACTAATCCGACTCCATATGCCTTAGTGTGTGTGTGTGTGTGTGTGAGACTGAGAGGTGTGTACCGACTCAAACATTTCTAGAAAAGTGCCTCATTATTGATCTTGCTGATCGTACCGCCCACGTCCGTTATATCCGAACTACAGCCACAAACCAACCTGGCGTCCTGTAGTGGTTATACAAAGATCATTTCATAATGATTTCTTACCTCGAGTTATTATTTAAACATGATTTTGCAATCAGACTGAGTCGTCAGAAGAGCATCCTCTTATTGGAGGAGCCCTGACGCCAATCAAATTCACTGTCCAATAGGGAGATGCGGTTCAAATTTGGGGCGTAGATGATACGTAGCTGTAGATCAGGTAGAATTAGTTGCATTTATTTCTTTTTTCCTAATGAAATGTATTCTTCTAAAGTGAAAAACTAAATCTCAAGCATTAATAAACAATCTTACAAGGCACAAACTGGCAAATATGTTCTTGCTCAGTATTTTTGTCTCATTTCCCAGTAAAAATATCTACAAATTCTTGAATCAAGATACATTTACTTGAGAAGCAAAATTAAGATAAGTCGTTTTCTTAAAGAATTATGCTTAAATCAAGAGTCAGTGGCGTATATTATTTTATGCTTAAAATAAGAAAACAAAAATATTCAGATCTTTTTGTTTCCCCTTTGAATTAAATATTTTTAGCCCACTGACTGATATTTTTCTTGATTTAAGGGTGATTTCACTTTATTTTGATAAATTTTTCAGAAAAGGTTTGCATTTTGCATCTACAGTATAAAATACAATTTCTTCAAATGTTAGTTAGATAGCAGTCTTGTTTTCTGAAAAAAAATTTGAGATAATTCTTAAAACAAGAAAAAAATTAATCTCAGTGGGGTTAAAAAATATATTTTTTCCCCTTTGAATTGTTTTTTTTTTATCCCACTGCCAAATATTATTGTTTTAATTCACTTAATTTACATTAATTTTTCAGAAAATGTTTGCATATATTTTGCATCTACAGAAAGTAAAATGACTTGATCAAATTTGTATATGCTTAAAACAAGAAAATTATTGTTTTAAGAAAATGTTTGCCGATATTTTGCATCTCCAATAAATTTGACGATTTAAGAATTTTTAGATATTTATACTGGAAAACGAGACCAAAAAAAAAAAAAGAGCAAGAAAATATTTTTTTGCAAAACAAGAGCTTTTACATTTTTTGCTAAACGTTTTCATCGGTCAAACTGTTCCCATGATAGACTGTTAAAGACACCGTAGAGCAACATCTGAGTATTTACGATTTATAAAACGCCACACTCCTACAACTTAACCATTCCAGACCCTCGCTGAACCCGAATGTACGAATCCACCGGAATGAAACCATGAAGCTGAATGTGTTACTTTACCAAACGTACACCTGATTTCCCCACCGAGGTGACCGCTTGCTGATTGGAGCGGATTTCGGTGGAAACAGCCAATCAGGAGAGGCGTTCTGCTTTTGTGTGCGGCCGTCTAATACAGCCTAGTGTGTTATTAGTTGCATTTGCACTGAATGTAATGTCGTTGGGGTTCAGATGTTTCGTGTACATAATAACGTGTCACACTAAAGGTGTAAGGATGAACATGTACTGTGAATAGAGTGCGGCACCGCAGCCCCGTGTAGAGGAATAAAATGATTGACATCTTTCTGCACTTCTGACTCTTGTGTCATTCATTTCTTTTGTGCAATTAATGCTTGTTTGGATCCATATTTTCTTTTATTTAGGAGTTTTAAAACTCTCAAATAAGTGATTTTTTCGCATGCAACCTCAGTATTTGATTCAGATATTGTTTAAAGTGTAGATTATTTATTGATTTATAATACATTTAGCTTATTTGTAATACTTCATTTGTTGTTAAACATGTAAATGGTCACAGTTACAGTCTGTTATTGACTACTTTGCCACTAACCAATGAAATGTGCCGTGGGCGGAGCGATACGTGTAGCCCCGCCCTATTCTGCAAGCATACTTAAATTAAACTGCAGATTTTAAAGTTGTCATGGCAAGAAAAATCTTATTTTTCTTTCATCTTTTGAAAGGTCTTTGTACCATTAAAACATTCAGCCCCGACAAGCTGCCCAATAAAAACAGATCATTTCAAAATGAGTGTTGAAAACAACTTTGACAAATATATGAAAAAAATATATACATTTATATACATAAAAAGTATAAGCGAACCTTAGATATGTTCAAGTAAAAATGCAAATTAAATTAATACATAGTATTATATGTATAAATAATCTTGGGCTTTAAAAAAATGTGATGCTATTTTAGCCGAGTGAAATGTGAAATGACAAAACAAGGACTAAATTTAAAGAAAGTCACTAAATTTATAGGCAATTCTTGTAAAATAAAAAAATCTATTGTACACAGAATACAAATAATACTCTGTTCATGTTCATTTGTCCAGTTTAATTCTTTTAAAACAGTTAATTATCAAAACTACTGTGATAATTTAAAAATATGCTCATCTGATCAGTGGTTTAGCGAGAAATAAGCAAGACAAAGCAAGTTTAAAAGACACAGATATGGCTTCATCAGCACTTTCTATGGCCAGAAATCTATTGTACACAGAATACAAATAATACTCTGTTCATGTTCATTTGTCCAGTTTAATTCTTTTAAAACAGTTAATTATCAAAACTACTGTGATAATTTAAAAATATGCTCATCTGATCAGTGGTTTAGCGAGAAATAAGCAAGACAAAGCAAGTTTAAAAGACACAGATATGGCTTCATCAGCACTTTCTATGGCCAGAAAGCGAAAGGATTTGCTTTCGTTGACAAAAAGTCATGCATTCATTCAGAGGCAACAGAAATGCAACACCATCAGACCCATTTCTTTACACACATAACACACATTCACACTCTGCCTATTATATTACAGTAGCACCTCGTTTACAAGGTCCGTCAGTGGAGTTTGTCACAGTGAGTTTGGCGTGATCAATTAAACACATTCATTCAGAGACTGACGATCCAAACCGCAAAATCCCCATCAAACTGATCCGAGATCATGATTTAGTCTAGAAATTTTCCACCGGTGTGCAAAAAAGCCTGTTTTCACGTCCCATTTTCTGCAGTTTTCACTATCAAGCAATATAAACTTTGACTTGTTTTGACTTCAGTTTGTACCAGGTTTTGACTAATCTTGAGCAAGTAACGGTTTTAGCTTTTAGTGCAAGACTAAACAGACACAGACTGAGCGAAACGAGCAGCAATCGAGTCACAAACGCAGCAGAATCTCGCTCATTTACTCAAACATCAAGCATTAGTATTTCCCAGCTGCTTCACAGAAGAGAACTCCTCCAGACATCTGTCACTCCTGCAGGCCGTGTCTTCACGAGAAGCCACACAGACTCCGTTTCCCAGAGTTCTCTGTGCTTCAGGAAGCTTCATTCGGCTGCGGTTCAGTCTCTCGAAGATTGGCTTTTGACCTGTTAGAGTAAAAACACTTTAGAATCTAAACAAAACTATATAATGTAAAATCATACTGCAATACAAATATTAATAAATATCTTAACATTATAAATGCAATCATGTTAATATTACTAGACAATTTATGTAAATTATGACATTTAAAAAATTTTTGGGGTGAACTATCCCTTTAATGTTTTTATTATTTTTATTATGAAATGATACTCTAAATAAGAAACTAAATGTGCCAGCAGGTGGCGGTAAATGTCTTCATTCGATTCATTCAAACGGTTGATTCATTCAGGAATGAAGTACCCGGCTCTCTTTATGGATGGATCTTTGAATCATTGATTCAAATGATTCGTTCAAAACGCGGATTCATTCAGAAACTAAACACCGCTGTGTTGCTCGATGCAGCACAACAGTTCTGCTATGGCTTTAAACGTAATACGTTTTCTGCAAAATTGAGCAAAAACACATAATATTGTGTTTAAAATATAACATAATATCAACTTATTGACTGAACTGTTGTATAGAATCACATTTAAGCTTGTGATATTCGGGACAAAATCAGCACTTGTGTAATATTGCTCTCGCTGCTGATATCGTATGATATAAATACGAGACAAAATCTCATACGGGGCATTTTTTGCCACAATATCTTGAATTTTAGGGCATAACTGCATTTATGGAGTTATTTCCCTGCAGTCATCTGTATGAAATGTAAGATGATGTACAGGTCTGGGGGCGGGGCCAGTGCATTAACTGCATTAAGAGATTTTAATCTCGTTTTTTTTTACATAACTAATTAAATTAAGTTAACGCGTTAAACTGACAGCCCTAATATATACTGTATATGTAAATACTAGAAATTGAATAAAATTTGTAATATTAGGTCATTCCAAAACAATGTAAAATCATGTCATATAAATATTTTTATATTGTCAATAATAAAAAGTAATTCTTGTGTCTGCGCCAATAGCCTTGAGAGCAGTGCGCTGACATACAGAGCCGTTGTGCTGCAGGCGTCCCAAGTTCGAATCCCGACTCGAGGGCTTTTCCCGATCCCACCCCACTATCTCTCTCCTACTTTGTTTCTGAGAAGACTAAATGTGAACTAAAAGTAAAACATTTATGATCACAAATATGTAGAATATAAAAAAATAATTAAAGATCATTTGTGTTTATAGAAAGAAAAGATTTTTGTATGCTTATGTCACTGCTCAAATTATTGATGCAGGAGTGTGCTGTACCTGTTGTGAGTCATGTGACTCTTGACGAGGTGTCCGGCGGCGAGTGCGGCCATCAGAGAGAGCTCTCCGGCCAGAACCGTGGCACAGACGATCCGCGCCAGCGTCCGCGAGTTCTCACCGGGACACTGATCGCTGGAGCCGTGAACTCCCAACATCTGATCAACACACAGAGAAGGGCGTTTAGCTCATCTAGAGCTCTTGTGTTGTTCAAGTGTGTGTGTGTTACCTGTAAACAGGCGTGTTGTGCGGGCAGCCCGGTTCCTCCTCCCACAGTTCCCAGCTCTAATGACGGCATCGTGCAGGACAAATACAGATCCTCTCCATCCGTCCCGACACACTCCATCAGAGTAATGCAGTTACTGCTGCCCACCGTCTGCGCCGGATCCTACACAAACATATAAACAACAATACAGACAAATTATATAGCAATCATATAATAATTAATAGTAAATGTTATAATTTTAATTAATATAATTTTATAAATGCATACATTATAATAAATTCTAATATTCACAATGCATAACATGATAAATTGCAGACAATATGATCAGGAATATGTGTATTAATAAAGCAAATGTCATATTAAGAGCTGTAGGTCGCACGCACCTGTCCGCAGGCGATGTAAATGGCTGTTACGATGTTTGCCGCATGAGCGTTGAAACCCCCGATGCTTCCGGCCATCGCTGAACCCACCAGATTCTTACTGATGTTCAGCTCCACCAGAGCCGCTGTGCTGCTCTTCAACACCTGCAAACACAGTCAACTGATGTTGAAGTTTACATTTCCATTTGCATTTCATGCACTGAACTGATTTAGAAGGATACATCTTTACACTTTAAAGTGAAACATCCTGAGATTTTTGGCTTCTTGTCGCCCCCTAGAGGAACAGTAGCTATCTTTCCCTTAGCAAACTCAGATCTTAAACCGGTCTGACCTCTCCGACGACTCGTGCCGGTATGACGGCTTCACACACGGTGGACTTTCCTCTGCCGTGGATCCAGTTGACAGCGGCTGGTTTTTTATCGGTGCAGTAGTTCCCGCTGACGGCTAGCAGACGCATGTCAGGATAACGCTCCTGAAGTCTGTCGAGAGCCTGTTCTGTTCCCTACAGACACAACCACCGTTACTCTAAACCTTCATGTCACGCATGCATCAACCATATGAAAGGACCATCACATTTTTGGTCGCTGTATTTTAGAGTGAAATAATCAGAGGGAAATCATGTAAGACAGCACTCCTATTGATTAAACAATATATATATATATAATTGAACAATTATGAAATAATTATAATAATTGAAATTGAATTTAATATTTGTATTATTATTATTATCTTGTTTCAATATAATAATGGAACAATAAAATAAGCAATTGAATAATTTGTATACTTATTAGAAAAAATAATGTGTAATACTGTCAATAAAAATATATATTTTACTATAGATAATAAATATATTCATACTATAAATTGAATAATACTTATACTATGTATAAACAAACTAATAATATTTGTATTGATTATTATAATCTTGTTTTAATATGAGACTGATTGCTAAATAAAAAAAAGAAAATGTACATAAATCATATATCAGGCACTCAAACTGAAAAATTACAGTAGAATATAAAAGTTCATTTAAAGCGGTTATTCGATGTACCTGTTGTGAGTCATGTGACTCTTGACGAGGTGTCCGGCGGCGAGTGCGGCCATCAGAGAGAGCTCTCCGGCCAGAACCGTGGCACAGACGATCCGCGCCAGCGTCCGCGAGTTCTCACCGGGACACTGATCGCTGGAGCCGTGAACTCCCAACATCTGATCAACACACAGAGAAGGGCGTTTAGCTCATCTAGAGCTCTTGTGTTGTTCAAGTGTGTGTGTGTTACCTGTAAACAGGCGTGTTGTGCGGGCAGCCCGGTTCCTCCTCCCACAGTTCCCAGCTCTAATGACGGCATCGTGCAGGACAAATACAGATCCTCTCCATCCGTCCCGACACACTCCATCAGAGTAATGCAGTTACTGCTGCCCACCGTCTGCGCCGGATCCTACACAAACATATAAACAACAATACAGACAAATTATATAGCAATCATATAATAATTAATAGTAAATGTTATAATTTTAATTAATATAATTTTATAAATGCATACATTATAATAAATTCTAATATTCACAATGCATAACATGATAAATTGCAGACAATATGATCAGGAATATGTGTATTAATAAAGGCAATGTCATATAAGTAGGTCTCACGCACCTGTCCGCAGGCGATGTAAATGGCTGTTACGATGTTTGCCGCATGAGCGTTGAAACCCCCGATGCTTCCGGCCATCGCTGAACCCACCAGATTCTTACTGATGTTCAGCTCCACCAGAGCCGCTGTGCTGCTCTTCAACACCTGCAAACACAGTCAACTGATGTTGAAGTTTACATTTCCATTTGCATTTCATGCACTGAACTGATTTAGAAGGATACATCTTTACACTTTAAAGTGAAACATCCTGAGATTTTTGGCTTCTTGTCGCCCCCTAGAGGAACAGTAGCTATCTTTCCCTTAGCAAACTCAGATCTTAAACCGGTCTGACCTCTCCGACGACTCGTGCCGGTATGATGGCTTCACACACGGTGGACTTTCCTCTGCCGTGGATCCAGTTGACAGCGGCTGGTTTTTTATCGGTGCAGTAGTTCCCGCTGACGGCTAGCAGACGCATGTCAGGATAACGCTCCTGAAGTCTGCTCAGAGCCTGTTCTGTTCCCTACACAGACCAAAACACACAACCATTGTACCTCGAAACCTTCATGTCACAAAAACATAAGCAACTATTATTATTGTTTCGATATGTAATAATTGAACAATAAAATAAATATATGTAAACTTGTTACGCATTTAGAAAATAAGAAAAAATGTGTACTATTTTCAATTATTATTTATATGTATGATCTATATAATTGTAATTATTATTATTATTATAGGAAAATATATATACAATATATATTATTTATATATAATATAATGTTCGTATTATTATCATCTTGTTTGATATGAGACTGCTAAATAAAATGTGAAAAAAATGTATTTATGGCCAATATTATATATTACTTAAAGGGGTCCTTTACAATAATAAATACAACATCAGGTTCCCAATTCCAGCCCATGTTCCGAAGTGAAGTAAACTTCAACAGATTTCCCCTGCTCAGGGAGTAGGTAGCAATGGACACTGTGTAGGGAGCATGCCGATCAGAACACAGTTCATGCACGTAGCTCACGCAGGACTAGATTAACCGCTGGGCTACATGTGAGCCGTTTGTGCCAGCCTGGGGAGAAAGGTATTGTAATAATGTAAAGTATGTGAAAAATAATGTGTTTTTCGAACCACCAAGCATGAGAGCATGTTCTAGTACACCCCCAAAACAAAATCAAGACTTTGTAAAAGAGCATAATAGGACCCCTTTAAGAGAAATGTACTGAAAGCTGTCATTGGATTGTGTTTATAGAAATAAGTTTTCCTATGATTGCGTCACTGCCCTCATATTGGTAAAGGTATGTATTTTAATATAATAGTGCATTTCAAATAGAGCAGGAACATCTATTATAGTCAGTACAGGAGTAAAGGTCATCTCCTCTGTGACCCATAAATCTGCTGTAATACGAGAGACGCTCGAGTTCTGGTTCATCACACACACACACACATACCTTTGACAGCATGTTCATGCCCATGGCGTCTCCGGTCTGAGACTGGAAGCGGATGTACAGGTTCCTCCCGGCCAAACTGGCCTGCAGCCGGTCCAGACGAGCAAACCTGAGAAACACACAGAGCTGAAGTTATCCTGAGCACTGGAATCTATCCCACAGCAGTGCTATATTAGATTTCTTCTGTAAGTGACCTTTGCCCTCTGACCTGCTGGTGTGATCGAAGGCCTGTTTGATGGCACTGAACCCTTCTGGACTCTCCAGCCAGCCCTTGACCTCCGCCGCTCGACACGCCGACGGCATCTGAACAACCGGCCCTCGAGTCATTCCATCCGCCAGAACACGACTGCTCACGCCACCCGACAACTACAGACACACCAGAGAAACGGCGCTTAGTGAGGAGACACTTAACAGCAGAGAGAAAGAAACCCAATCAATGATTGTGCAAAATAAAATAAATACAATGGATATGTCAACAAAACAAAGACAGGAAAACAACAATGAAATAATTCTAAAAAATTTAATTTTTAAAAATAAGCAGAAAGACAATGAAAAAAATCAACAAACGGAAAAAACAAAAAGAATAAACATCAAAAAATGGAAGAACGAATCAACAAAAAAAGGAAGTAAAAATTTAAACAGAATGAACAGAAGATCAAACAAAGAACAAATCAAAAGAAGAAAAAAAAACGATGTGCAAAATAAAATGAATAAATCAACAAAGGGAAAAATAATCAATAAATGAACAAATGAAAAAAGAAACTGAAATTAAAGTGAAAGAAAGAACAAATAAACACATAAATATAAAAAAAGAATGATCACAAACAAATGAATAAACAACAGAAATCAAAACAAAGAAAAAATAAACAAGGAAAAAACAAGAGAACAAAAAAGCTGAAATAGTGAACAAAAATTTAAAAAATTTAATTCATCAAGTAAAAGAATGAACAAAAAAACAAAAAAACAAAGAACGAATGTGCAAAAGTTATTAAAAATGAAAAAGATCAACAAAAGAAAGAAGAGGATAAACAACAAATAAATGGAAATATCAAAGAAAAGAAACAACAAAGAAACAAATGAAAGAACAAACAAACAAATGAATATACACCAGAAACCAAAATGAAGAATGCCTGAACAAGCAAACAAATTAATAAACATAAATCAAAACAAATTAACAAAAGAATCAATTAATCAGCCAAAGAAAGAACAAATGAACGAGCAAAAGAAAGAACAGAAATAGAAATGGAATAGTAGTAGAATGTCATTCATTTATTTCTTTTGGGTTTTTTCTCATTATACATTTACTTTATTAATATAAAATAACCCCATGACTCACTGTGACGGCTCTGCATCCTCGGTTAGTGCTGGCCACTAAACAGCCTTCTGTTGTTGCCATGGGGACGTGGAATTCTTTCCCGTCCAATAGGAGTGGTCCAGCCACACCCACTGGCACAGGTACATAGCCAATCACATTCTCACAGTTGGTGCCAATCACCTGAGAACGAGGAAACAACATTAAACATCCATTCAGCTGTGACGTCATCACACATGTGACCCTGGATCTCCGGAGCAGCACCTTCGAGTAATCGTAGTGTCTGTAGGGCAGGTTCTCCAGCGCGGACGCCTCCGGGAGTTTGGCAGACAGCATTTCTCTGCGTATGGCCACACCTCTCTCTGGACTCTCCATCACTGCTTCCAGACGGTATCCCAGAATGCCCCTGCACTCCACTAATGCCATCACCTCAGCGTTAGTCAGGCAACGAGCCCCTCTCTGAAAGAAGACAAAAAGATCATGTAAATCACATGAAGTTTGGTTAATTATTGACTAATAACTTCAGGGTCTTTAACAAACAACAAGACACAAAAAAAGAAACAAAGCAAAAAGAAACAATTTATAAATTATCTAAGAAAGAAAAGAAACAAAAAGAACAAATGGAAGAACAAATACAAGAACAAAAGAAAGATAGAACAGGAGAACAAGTGACAGAAATAGTGAACAAAAGATCAAAGAATGAACGAATGAAAGAAAGTTAGAGAATGAATGTCCAAAAGAAAATACAAAAAAAATAAGAATAAATTAAAACCAAGAAAAGATTAAAAAAATAATTAACAAATGTAAGGAATAAAAGAATTTAAAAAATGGAAAAACAAATCCGTTAATAAACATGAGAAAACAAAACAATGAATAAATCATATAAAATGAGCAAGTGAAGAAAGAGCTAACATAAAGCAGATGAAGTTAAGATCAGTTAACATGCATGTGACTGACTGATGAATTACTTTGGGGTCTTTAAGAATCATCAGACATTCGTCCACAGGGCGGCGCTGGTGAGACTGGAGCTCATCGTTTTTTTCCTCCTCATTGTTTCCGTCTGACAGATCAAGCAGCTCTTGATCAGTTTTATTCGTAGGGACCCCCATCAGGGCTTTGGGCGGGGCCAAATCCCTCTGACAGCACTCCTCTCCTCCTCTCCTATTGGTCAGGAAGCAGTTGGGTGTGGCCACATAGGATTTAATAGACAGGGAGGATTCTGTTTCGGCCTGCTCGAAAAACACGTACTTGGCCGCCAGTAACAGAGCGAGAGAGAGCGTGATGACTTGCTCCAGATCCACACTGAGAGAAAGAAGGAGATTATTATTAATGATTGAATAGAGGAGTTTTCATTCTCAACCGTGTGATGTTTCTCAGCTCGTACCTGGACATGGTTCTGTCGGACTCCATGTTCGGTGCAGGCAGAACCACATCTGAACTGCTCATGTTGTGTGTCGGAGATTCAGTCACGAGTCGACTGCGAGCATGAACCAGCGCCAGACCCAAAGACTGAAGCAAACGCAAACCAGAACAGTCAAATAGACATCAGTAAGGCTGCATTTCTTGAATTAAAAATATAGTAAAAACAGTCATATTGTGATTTTTTTTTTGCCATTTAAAATACATTTTTATGTGAATATATGCTAAAATGTAATTGATTTCTGTGATGCGCAGCTGTATTTTCAGCATCATTACTCCAGTCTTCAGTGTCACATGATCTTCAGAAATCATTCTATATTGCTGCTTGAGAAACATTTCTGATTTTTATTCATGTTGAAAACAGTTGTGCTGCTGAACATTTTTGCGGAAACTGTGATACATTTATTGTTCAGGATTCTTTGATGAATAGAAATTTCAAAAGAACAATTTATTTTAAACAGATTTTTTTAACATTCAGTCTTTACTGTCACTTTTGATTCATTTAAAGGGTCAGTTCACCCAAAATTCTGTCATTAATTACTCACCCTCTTGCCGTTCCAAACCCGTAAGACCTTCGTTCATCTTTGGAACACAAATTAAGATATTTTTGATGAAATCTGAGAGCTCTCTGACCCTCCCATAGACAGCAAGGGTACTAC